AGGGAGGCGAAGGTGTGAGCGTGTCAGTTAGGAAAATTCGGCATTCATCTTCATTCCGTTCGCATTTTCCTATCATGTCGGGCGAGGGAGGGGGAGAACGCTCCCTGATGTACTGCTACAACGACGACGACGACGAGAGCAGAGTGGAGCAGGGGGAGCGATGCGGGGGCGAACGGAGCACAACAAGGCGGGCGCGTGTGCGCCAGAAGAGTCGCTGTTTTTCGCGAAGCGGTCGCTTCCGGCGCTGCCTGTCTGCTGCTTGCTGCTGCAACAAGGGAATCCTTTGTCTTGGGGGCCGAGCGCGGCAGCCCGGCGCCGGATGCGAGAATGCAAAGACGAAGATGCGATGCGGAAGTGATGGAAGAAGGAAGTTTTGGAGGCTACTCCGGAGCAGATCGACTCGCGGGGGTAACCACCGCAGGGAATCGGGGTTGGCCGGCAATGAAGAGGTTTAAAGAAAGCGCAAGCAGAGACACGAACAACACGAACCGTTCAGGAACATAAAGAGAAACCGAGAATGACGCAATCATACTTGTAAGTACTCACTACAAGTAATCCAATTACTTGCAACCTTTACTTTTTCCCCCTCTCGTTGCTAATGACTCCCATTTTTGGTACAAGCTACCCACCAAGGAAATCATGCGATGAGTATATACGCGCGACGAATTATCTATCTATGGAAATAAATGTCGCACTAAAAGTCTGGGTAATTTTAGGCGGTTAACTTCCTCGACCTTCTTAATCACTCCTTTTTTTTTTCTAATAGTGTATGCAGCTTTCCTCTTTTTTTATTTTTAATAACATACTACTAATATAACAATCGTTTTATTTGTAATCATGCCCCCAAAGTCCCTTCTCCCAAACTCTCCAAATCTGACTTTAGATAGATCGCCTCACAAAGGCCATGCCTCTAAGAAAGAACAGACGGAAGAAATCTACACCACATTTCTAAACACAGAGGCCAACAAACAAGAAGCGACCCTCGTGAAAGCGGCACACCTCCTGCATTCGGAAGACTCCCCCAGCCAGCCAAACAAACCCAAACTGGCGCGAGCGTCGAAACTCCGTTCCGTTTTTGCTCCAACGCCTCTCCTCCCCGGCCGTCTCGCAGTCCAGCGCATTCCCCACCGCCAAACTCTGTCCGCTCTCAGACCCACGACGAAGCGCTGGGGCGAGGCGTCCTGCTTTCTCCGCACGACGGACTCACCCCAAACCCCGCGGACTCCGAATCTCTACCCCGAGGCCACACCCCGCGCGGCTTCAACCTACACTCTATCCTCCCTCGCGCAGCTGCCCCGCAAAGCAATACAACACCTACAAGAAAATGCCTCGCGCCTTTTCGCTCTAAACGCCACGACGCAGTTGATCTATGCTGCGCCGTCAAGAACGTGTCAGCATCAGCGTCGTCAGCACGTCTTGAAGCGTCTTACAACGACGCTAGCACGCGGTGACGCCAAACGCCGGCCTCTACTGGGTGCGTGTGTCGCTTGGTGAGGGTCGGGCATCCACTATATATCCCGAACTCGCCTAAGGATTTGCCGGCTTGTCGGGGCCTCAACCGCCGCCTAAAGGCTCCCCAATCCGCGTGGATTACCGGGCTTACTTCATCGCGCGCTAAAACTTGCCGCTGGTATATCTCGCCCCTCGCCTCGCTGCTCCCTGCAGCATCGCGGCCGGAGTAGAAGGCAAAGGGAGGAACCTCGACTCGCCGAACGCCGATGTTATCTCGCCGGACGGCTCGCAAGAAAACTCGAGACCAAGTACCAAGAGCCCCCTGCGCTAATTGGAACGCCCGTTGTAACCGACTGCGTGGCTGCCTGCTGCTGGCCCGGCTGGTTTTATTGGGGCTAGCTCTATAGACGCGTGTTTGTGCTTAGAGGTGTGTACGCGCAGGAAGAAGGTTTCAATATCCAGGCGTATTGTTGAGATGCAAATTTATCGAGGGCGGGGGGGAAGTGAACGGGGGGTTCTTTGCCGGGCCATCTGGCGGTGCATGGAGTAAAGAGCGGGTAAGTTCGATTTCGCAGTGCGCGTTTGGCGAAGTTATCAAAGACGTTCTTTAGCACTAAAAACGCCCTGAACTAAAGTCTTCAGGCTCTATTTCAGGGCGTTTTGTGGGTGACTGCAATATGACCGGGGGCTCTTGCCTACAACTCGAAGAGCAAACTCAATATTAACCAACGCATACATAAAAAAATATGCTTAAACCGTGTACCGGGTTCCCCATGCAGACCAAACTAGGATGAATCGATTAAAGGTCTGCTCTTTAATAAAAGGACGCCGTTTTTAACCGGCGTTTTGTTCAGCATATTTCAATGATGTATCACAATGTAATCAAAGAGCGAACCTTTTCAAAAGGGTAATACTACACGTCTAACCTTCCATATTAAAACGAAAAACCTGAAATAACCAGGAATACAACAAAGAACTCATTCCCCCATGGCGCCCATCCGAACCAAATGGAACTTGCCGCATCCCCTCCCCGAAAGTGGTGTAACCCGCGACTGAGACCAAGGGGATGTAGAGAGCCCGTTCTTTGCAGAATGCAGGTACCCGTGAAGCCCCGACGACCACTAATCTCCGCCGCGAATGCGCCCTCACCGCTTCGCCGCATATCTGCCCTCCCAGAGAGGGGGAAGTCCCCATTGGACGTTCGGGGCCGCACGGCTTCGCCAAAACCGCGCGAGGGGGACGACGGTCCCGTCCCTGAAATCCCCCAGGGACCAAGACGGCGAAGAGGCAAGGGACAGGCACGGTCGCAGATACAATAAGCTTTTTCACAGGAGGAGAACGTGTCACGTGTGTTATGGAAGCTCGTCCCGGGGAAGGTAGTAGTTGTTTGTTTTTATGTTTTTATTTCTTTCTTTTTCTACGAGGATTGTAGGGCGACACTAAACAGAGGTAAATCTGGCGTTTGTATAAATGCATTGGCACGTTTAGAGTTCATCGCGCCTCTGTCAAGATAGATCGTTTTCGCTATCCCACAATGCTCTGCGAAAAACGCTAGGAGTTCCAAAAAGCTTTCGCGGCGCGCATGCGCAGTAGTGGTGTCTACAGTAGGAAGAGAGTCGTGGAGACAACAAAAAACAATATACAAAAACAAAAACTCACGAATATTTTATGTAACTTTCTCGGTTACACTGTCGTATCCGCTGGCCGTCCCAATGTGCGCGACTGAACTGATTTTTTTAATACTGCATATAAATAAAAGCTGGCAAAAGTGAAGTTACTACATTTGCGAGTTATACCCGTGATGCGATTGGTCGGACACATATCGGAGCACCTTTCGGAGCAGCCAGCAGTCACGAGACCATTTTGGAGCGGGAGAAAGCAATATTTTGGAGCACTTGCATACGCTCCGTTCTCATTTATTCCACTGCGAATGCAATCTTAAAAAGCACGTGTTGGTCTTCCCAACTGAAAGACAATATCGCCTTTCGATTTCCATCCTAGTCTTCGGGGCACAGAGTTTGATTTCATCAAACACGAGTCAGCCGGCTGTTTGGTTAAACTTTAAAAGCCCGCAGCAAAAAGCTGATTGATGAGGGTCGTCAGATACAAATCCGTTAACGCTTATTTTAGAAATTGAATTAAAGGTAAGCCAAGCTATATTCCACTAAAATAGTGTTGCATCAGACTAATTTCAAGAAACAAAATGCAGTTTTTACTGCAGTTAAAAATAAAGCTCGCGTGGTTTATTTATGCACCGCATTCTCAATTTAAACGCGAATCTTCATACTGATAAATATATGTTCCTAAAGCAATGCAGGCTAACTCGCGATTCCCATATCTGCTTCGATTCCGCTGGTCAAGGTGATTTAATCTTAATTAATCATTTTTAGAGTGCCCTCGAACAGTTAGGGACTTACATAAAGGTGGTAACTAATATGAAAATAAACCTTTAGCACAACCTATATAAATCCTTTCACAATACCAGATTATCCCTTTTAAACCTCGAATTAATAGAGGAAAAAAAAAAAACAACAACGATGCGAGCGATTGGCCGCGGTTTTATTTTGCAAATTTTACAGCAAGCCAGAGTTGTCACACCAACGTTCAATAAATTCCTTTTTTTTTTTGTTTTTTTTTTTTTTTTTACATTTAAACGCAATGCGTGCGCGAGTCTTATCCCGTCTTAGAGGAGGGCTTTGCCCTTAGTACGAGACTGCGATGTGGCGAAGCAAAATGCAAAGCATTCCCATGTCTACTTTGCGGGCGTCGCTTCCCTGCAACACAGCTGTGCACGGCGGGAAGCGCACTCAACGGAGTCAACTCACTCGCTTTAACAGTCCAGAACAATGAGAAATATTGCGAAACGTTCGAACACTGTTAGTATTTGATTCGGCGGTAAAACAAAAGAGTACTCCACCTGAAGCCATAATTGTAAGCTTTAAAAACAAATTGCTTAAGCCTACCGTAACGATTCGGTAGTGAAGTGAAACTTTTGTCGCAATGTTGTCAATAATGCGTAGCATATCTTTCTTCCTTTTTTTTTTTGCGAGATATAGCAGGATGTAGCACAGCTGTAAGGCCGATTATTTTGACATAGATTCGAGGTCTTCGTGAAGAATTTGACGGACATAATAAAAGGGCGAATGGCATTCAAGGACGAGCTCGATCTCGTTTTAGTGATAGATCTGGACGCACGCTTCTTCTATCTAACATACACGCACGTTCTAAAACCGCACACTGGCTATGTTATACGCAAAGAAGCCACCGAATGACAACAGTCAAAGTGAATAGTCACTGAAAATATTAAAAGCACTCCATGGTTACTGACACCTCAAGAAACCCAGGGCATGACTTATGTTAATTCACGCTTCTTGCTTCGTGATTGGTCCATTGGCGTTCTTATCGGCTGATGCCGCAATCTGATTGGCTGCGGAAGGATAATTAGATGTTCGCGTTTCCAAAGTTGTCAGTGTCTAGAGAGAATTATATTCCCGAATCTGCCAATTTACTATTTGCGATGTCAGGAAACATCAACGTCCGTTACTCACGCTGCAATCGCCTGGATTGTCTCCCTCCGTTCCTCCTCCATCCACCACCTGGACGAGAAAAAAGAAGAAAAAGAAATTAAAACTCGGCGCTGAATACAAGGCATCGACGAAATTGGCGTTACTACATATGCTACGAGTCGCCAAACATTGCTACGGAGTTGCATTTGTCCGAAATGGCGGCGTCAGTGGTCATTATTATACAGCTAATACACTGCACACCCGTTGTCGTTCACTTTTGCAGCGCAAAACATGGTAGTGCTTGACACAGCTAAAACGCCAAACAACGGAGGGGAAAAAACGCAAAACCTTCCACGCGGCTTTTGCGTTTTCTTTGTCACCCTGCCGAGACAAGACAAATTGCGCGCGTGCTGAACCTGCAGAGGTGGCGAGTGCTCCGGGTCAGTCGACATAGCTTATATACGCCGAAACACCGCCTATGATATTACACGTAGCCCTATGGGCACCTGATCGCACATAATGAAACGACGAAAATGTAAAAAAAAAGAAATAATAAACAAGATTCACACAGAGAAAATTATAGGAAACAAAATAGAACGTTTCTGCAGAAATGCAATGTAAGAACAACCGTAAGAAAAAAAAAAGAACATGGTTTAGAAAGCGAGAAAACAGCTCGTATTATCTGCGCTAATAACCGCAACGCACTCTAACAAGGATTCGGCGAGTAGAAAAACAGAAATAAAAACGGGCCGCGAACAACTTGCAACTGCCGGTCACGACCGCGAACGTGATTCCAGTCGCAGCCCTCACCGATTCCCCGACGCCGAATTCGCCCAACGATATTCTCCCGCCCACTCGACCCGTGAGGTGCGCACGTCGTTCTGCAGAAACAGCACACGCTCGGTTTCGTGTAGAATCCTAATTCACTTTTTTTTCCCTATCCCCTCTCTTCCTCTTCTTTTCGTACATACGATCGTGTCGACTGTTGACCTTCCAATTAGAAGGAAGCTCGCTCAACTTATCTTCGTTTTTAACCCCGCGCATTTATCTTTATTTTTTTAAGTTGTTGCTTTCGCCTTTTAATCGCAGCGAACTCCAGATGTGGAACGAGATTGTATATAAAGTAGTTTGATTGCTTGTTCTTTCGGCCTAATGCGCATCCGTTTAAGCGAGAGGATGCTGATAAAACAATCTGGCGGACAGCGCAGCCGATTGTGTGTGTGTGTGCTATCTTAGCGGGTACGCACGACCTTTCCGTTACCGTTTTATTACGCGAAGGGTCGCGCAGTTGGCCGCCAAATAATTGCTCCGATTGACATAATGAAGCAGGTAAGCTTGTTGAAAGGGTGAAGCCGTTATAGGTTTATGAGGATAAAAAGGAGTCAATTTGTTATTAGAAATCTGTCCGCGGCGGGAGAAAAAAAAAAAGGGGGGGGGGAGAGAGAGAGAGGACGAGGAGGTGGTAATAGCGGGTTGTATATACGATTACAAATCACTTACGGTGATAAATCTTTCGACGCGCCGTGCTCATTATTCAACCCAAAAGCGATCGATCTTTCTGCGTTCAACAGCGGCAGTAATACTCTGAGAAAAAAGCCTTCCCTTTTTGAATTCTCTTCTTTCTTCAGAGCGAAAAACTCCGTGAACATCGGAATTCAGGCTCAATCACTAGGATCTGTAACCATATATTTGTTTTGTTTTGTAAATAATAAACACAGCTTATGCGTCAGCAGAGACGCGTGACGAACGAAAAACGCAACGATCGTTGGCTGAAGGGCACGACCTAAGCAATGTTCGAGCGACCAACCGGCGTTGTCTCACACGCCGAAGGGGATTGTTCATGAACAGTTTGTCGGGAGGCTACGACAAAAGCCTGTTAGGATTTGAAATCATGTTTCCTTCTGGCATCGTATGTTTCTTTTGGGGAGGCGACATAGCGAACCTTCTAATTAATCAGAAAGTCAAGCTTTAATGTCGGCGTATATTCAGTTCATTTCTAGAAGAAAAAATAAATACTTCCAAGTATATCGAGGATAGGTGTACTTCTACCCAAATGTACTTACCCAAATCCCTAATAGTAGAAAATATGTATTTTCGCTTCTTTTCTTTGAAAGATTCATCTTTATTGGAATAAAACAATTTATAGATGTGTGTCGAAACATGGTAGACGAAGAGGTACGCGACGAGCCAGGTTGAAATTATTGCAGGTGTGCGTATGAGAACGTTCTTTATTAGTGTACTAGTATCAAAACGTCATAATTGACAAAGCCGATTCGCGTGCCTACCTTTCTAACCTGTCAATGCCTACACGGTTTCATAATGCTGATATTTCAGGATGAATCGACAACTTGCAGGCAAGATATCAAACAGGGCACACCACACACATTGTGTGTTCTACTGAAAGCAACCAACACAACGAAATATCTATTCAGTCGTACTCTACACTATTTTTTATGTGATTTTTGGTCGGGAATTACTGCGTACGCTCTTAGAAACATAGTGCGTCTATGCACCAAATTGCATACACCAGATTGCCTACGGTGCACATACCAGTCTATCCCACGCCACATTTCGGACGCACGTACCAGAAAACAATGCTTACGACCACCTTCTGTGTCATGACGTCGAACCAACCACATATTGTCTTGAAACAAAGTTAGACAACGAGCATCAAGTATAGTTCGTCGGGAAGTAAAGCTCTAGAAAAGTTCCTTCATATTCTGTCGCAACGTCCTTTAGTTATATATTTTTTGCATCACCTATAGCAACCACGAATAGTGCAAAACAAAATCATCTACGTTTGTTGTCTCAGTTACACACACACACACAACAAAAACGAGGTTGTCATTCGTTGTTACTCGCTCCCACCCGAAAGCTGTATCGAAATATGCGTGTATCGAACACCATACAACCGTTTTAGCGGCTTCTGACCTCTTTAACCGAAAGGTAATTACTAACAAAGATATCAAATTTCTGTAATTTATTTGATGCTATTTTATTATATCTCACAACAATATACACAAAAAATTGCATCGTTCGACCAATAGCTCTAAAAGATAGTACGGGGTTGAGTAACAAAATAGACGTTTGAGTGCCACAGATAACCTTAGCACATCATAAAAACAATATAACGTAAGAACATCAGCAAATAATATATAACTATAAATGGTACTAATCCCAAACACAGGATGACAAGTCTTTGGTCTTAAGGTTACAAAAAAAAACTTAAGGTTTATATTGCAAATCAAGGAAAAACACATTCAAAGTTACGAAAGACGTTAATTTTCGCTTTCACATTGTTAGTATATCATTCACAGCTAAAGGAGGGTTAAACTCAATACATCTTTGTCCCACAGTATTCCGACATAGCGGAAAATCGAACGGATTAGACGTTAAAGTCCTCGTAATTCGTATACCTAGATTTACACAACCTCAGGGGAAAAGGGTCGTTGGATTCAAAATATTGTACGGACTGTTTGGACAGGTTTTAATTTGAATACACAGGCAAGAGGGATACCACGGAAACTGATCGAAAAAAAAGTAAACATCTCTACTTTGGAATTCTAGCGCCCTCTCTTTGTCTTACGGTAATTGCCGGTATGATTCTGCACCGTTAATTATCATCAACACGCTCAGAACAATTTCCCCAAAAATACATTTTGAAAAAAAAAAAAAAAAAAAAAAGAAAACGCCCACGAAAATGCGGTAGAACCATCGATAATCCTGGCAGCAGATCTGCCCCAAAACGTGCGAGACGCACCCCAAGGAACAACAACAACACACAGACGCCGCGCAGTTCCCCAATTTGGCGACCAAGCCAACAGCGATCCAACCGCGGCCTTCTGAAAGACTTGCCCGCCCAAGTCGGACAACGTCGAGTGCTCCAGCGTGCGCACGTTCGCGGTCCTCTCGCTTTCCTGCGCGCCGTACCGTCGCCATTTTTCTCTGAGCGGCTCGCTTTCTTTTTCGTTTCTTTTATTTATTTTTTTTTCCTTCGGCGGGCCGTTTCGTCTCCTCCCCGTTCCTTCCTGGAGGGAGTCTTTAATGCGTTTTAAATCGACCTGCGCGGACTGTGCGAGCGTTCGAAGCCGTCTCCGAAGCGTGAGAGCGCCCGACGGCCCGCGCGCCGCCTCCGTCGCTGCGGCCCGCCGTGCTCTCGAGGCTCGAGTGGCGCAAGGGAGGCAGAGGGGGCCGTCTCGACGAACTGCGTGCCCCCTGTGCTTCGTCGTCGTCGTCGAGGCTCTCTGTCTCGCTGGCTGACGGAGCTTTGCCCTCGAGCTCGAAGACGTGTGCGTGAGTTGTACGGACAACAACGGCGCGAGAGCTTATCAGCCACGTAAAAACGGTGGTCATTTTCGAAGGTGGTAGAGGAGGGGGACCCCATGCTTACGTTTTGCTTGATCCCTCTCCGCTCTTCGCTGTGTCCACTAAATGGCAAATAATATGGTAAAAAAAAAAGTTGTTTGATATTTGCGTGTAAAACAAAACGTACCTGCAAGCTACGTTTTGAAAATTTGATTTTAGACGCGGCATGATATAAAGCTATATCAAACAGGAGTGCAAAATGGAATTCAAGGCACCGAAGGGTCAACAACATAAACCCCAAACAGACGGAAAGAACAATTCACTCGAACGTAGGAAAATCTTGCATGCCTGAAGTAGACACGATCAAAATATTGTATCGGAAGTGTTGTTCACCAAGAGATGTCGGGATGAGTGCATCATTCTAGACTATACAATTTTTGAACTGCAATATGTCACACATCAGGGGAAAAAATTGCAGAAATAAAAGCCATGTAAAGGCCCCCCTCCGGCTTTGAATGTTTCCCGTTAGAACAATAACTACTCTCCTCCCCATACCCCCCCCCCCCCTCCAAAAAAAAAAAACAACAAAAAACACACACACACACAAAAACAACAACAAAAAAACGCGCTGTTTGTACGGTGATTGAGCTGCACACAAACTTCGTGAATCTGGCTCAACTTTGAATTATTGTCAAAACCAGTCTCTAAGTTAGGCTCTTTTGAAAATATTTCGCGTGTGAGCCCTAGAGAAAGCTTCTAATGAGTTATAACACAAATAGTAAC